TTACTGCAACCTCCACCTCCCAGGTTCAAGCCATTCTTTTACCTCAGCCTCCCGATTAACTGGGATTACCTGGGATTATAGGCATATGCCACCATGCCCAGCTAATTCGGTATTTTTAGTAGAGATGGGGTTTCTCCATGTTTGTCAGGCTGGTCTCAAACTCCCAACCTCAGGTGATCCACCCACCTCAGCCTCCCAAAGTGCTGGGATTACAGGTGTGAGCCACAGCGCCTAGCTTCTTTTACATTATGTAGACTCTTCCTTCTTGTATTTCAGAATTTTTTATAGGATTATTTATTTTCTTCCTGGAAAAAGTTATATATTTTTTTAAATTGAATGTCTGCTGGTAGTTCTAAATTCCTGTTATGAAATTATAGAACATATCAGTAATAGTACATGGTAATTTCATAACTTTGAAGTTATTTTCCCACTGTGTTTAGAGAAATATTTTTGCTGTTACTATATCATCTTAATGCTAATCTGACAGTCATCTGCTTTTCTTCCACCTTTCTAGATTTTCCTAAGACTTTCAGGAAAGAGTCCTGAAAAGAAACTCCTAGGTAGAAATTTCTGCTTATTTTTATTTGTGGAGATTCACTAGACTTCTTGAATCTAAAGTTTGGTGCCTTATATTTTTTCCAGTATATTCATAATCATTACCATTATCTCTTAAATTTTGCATGTTTTTGTGTATTTTGTGTTATTTATTTTCTAATTTGTAACTTGTTATTAATTTGCTTCCATTTTGTTAATTGAGGTGTTTTTAATTCACTGATTTCATTTTTCCTTTCTAGAAAAACTGCTGTAATTTTCTTTGTAATAGGTTTTGTCATTTTTAATGGTTTCTTGTTTCTTAGACCTATAATCAATGCTGTGTATTTTCTTCAAATATAGTAACCATACTTACTTACTATTTAAATATATGTAGCTTCTGAGAAGATAAGTCTAAAGATCATTTATTTATTCCAAGTGTCAATTATGGGGGCAAGTTTGTATATATTTACATGTAAATACATACACACATACATATATTTGTGCTTGAACTTATATTTTTTAAAGTTAATCAGGCATCTCAAGGGATTTGTTTTATGGTTACTTTCTCCATGTCAGATTTACATCATCCTCCACAGACTACCAAGTTCAACAGATTTTAAATTCATGCATGGACTTGGAATTTTTCTATTCATGCAAGTGTTATACACTGAAATACTAAATGCAGATGAGTGCAGAGCTGTATTTTGAATTCCAGAGGCTACTTTTCAATATGGTTTTTCACTTAAATTTAAGATAAAAAGAAACCATTTTGGTTGTCAATTAGAATTATTTTTTTTCCTACCTTATTCTTTTATAGAAAGAAAAATTTTCAGTCTTCAGGTGGAGTTTTCAGTTCTAGCTTTCTATTTTTGAGGAGCTCAAGGAATTATTAACTTTCCAGGAGTGGTAGTTAAACACCAAGTTTCTGTTTCTGATATTGGCAAAGACCTTCAGGTTTATCCCTCAGTTTTGTGTTTTACTCTTCATATTTATTCTTCCTCCCACCAACCCACCCTGGAAAGTTATCTTATTTTGTCATTTCACTTCACTATCCATTTATTATAACCATTTCTTAAAAATATATTATCTAGCATTTCTGTGTATTTAGCAGCAGGGATTTACTCCCAGAATACTCAGTTTGCCATTTGCTGACAATTGAACTCTTCTTATTTGGTTTCTATTTGCTTTTTCTTCACTTTCCATCTCTAGTTCAGAGTCCATAGGTTTATCGCTGTTATCCCAATACTGATTCCCATTTCTTTCCCTATTTATGCAATGCTCTACATTTAGAACTCCGTTCACATAAGGTTCTTTGTCTTTGCCCTCTTTTTGAAATTCAAAATTATTTTTGTACTTACAAGACCCTGAATTTGAGGTCTTCAAACTTCACTCTAATACAGATAATTCTAGGTTCCATCTCCCCAAGTGTAATTGATTCAGTTTATTCTTAATACTTAACATTCTTTTTCACCTCCATGGCTCCTATCAATTATATAGGCTGCTGCATACATGTGGCAAATACATATTTTATGGGATGTATATAATACCAGGTATAATACTGGGCAAATAGTAAAGGGGCAGACAATACTGGTTATTTTTCAGGGGAAGGGATGGGCAACAATAATTAATTTGTGCTTAAAACACTGTGAGTTATGTAAACAAAAATATTTCAGTGGAATGTATTGAGAAAATATCAAGCAAATGTATAATAATAATTCACAATTATATAAGCTTTTTACACATATTAGTAATGTATTTCTCCCTACAACTCCATGAAACAGGCATTGCCAATTTTATTTTTAGATCCCTTTTACAGATTTTAAACTGAAGCAGACTAGAGGCATAACATGCCCAATTCATACAGGCTATAATTTTTGAGCCAGGTTATAAAATCAGGCAGTCTAGCTTTGGAATATGAACCTATATGCCTATGCTACTCTTTCATGCTGAGACAAATATAGAAACAAAGTTATGTAAAAGAGAAATGAATAAAGCAAAGTGCTGAGATAAATGTTCTTTTGGCTGTATCTATCACAATAATAACAAACCTGAACACATATCTGTGAACCCAAATCTTTCTTCTCCTTGTTTTCCTGAGTTGTTTAAATGCTAGCAATGGTTGCAACATTCATTTTGTCTTCTTATATAAAACATTTTGAAATGTCATGTAATTCTTTCCTCAGCCACTTCTTATCTTCAATCAATAGTCACTCACTGATTTATACAGATTTGTATCTGAATATTTTTTTCACTATTTCAGACTTGACTCAGGTTTTCATTGTCTCTTCTCTAGATTTTCATAATAAGTTCCTAGGTAATCTTCTAGTCTCCACTGGCTTTTGTTCATTCAGCCCTTCATACCTATGCCAGGAATATTATCTCAAATGTTCATCTCCTGTTCACCACCTTTTTATTATCTGCCCATCACTTTATTCTGCAAATAATGCAGAATAAAGCTAAACCTCTTTATTATTTCATATGAATTTCTTTTTCACTATTTCTCCCTCCCATATCACAACATTAATTTTGCTCTCACCAAATATAAAAAGAAATGTATTTATAGACTTTTGGCTATCAAGATCTATGAATAAACAAACTTCCAGCATTACATATAAAACTGACCCCTCCTCATAAAATTCTTTCTTAACCTATACTAACCTAACTCTTGAGAGTTAGACATTTTTCTTTTCTTTTTTTTTTTTTTTTTTTTTTTGACAGAGTCTCATTCTGTTGCCAGGCACTAGGCTGGAGTGCAGTGGCACAATCTCGGTTCACTGCCACCTCCACTTCCCAGGTTCAAGCAATTCTCCTGCCTCAGCCTCCCAAGTAGCTGGGACTACAGGTGCACACCACCATGCCCAGCTAATTTTTGTATTTTTAGTAGAGACGGGGTTTCACCATGTTGGCCAGGATGGTCTCGATCTCTTGACCTTGTGATCTGCCCACCTCAGCCTCCCAAAGTGCTGGGATTAGAGGCTTGAGCCACCGCGCCCGGCCATTTTTCATTTTTTAAGATCATCTGGTCAGACCTCAGGCCCTGAGAACCTTTGTCCCCTGGGACAGTGTGCTTTCCAGTGATTTCCTTGGCACAGTGGGCATGGACGAGATGGTGGTCCATTCCTCTGGGGACAATTTCTTATAAAATGTCCCTTCAGACCGCACTGGTGGTAACAAATTCTGCCAGACTGGTGGCTAACCCAAGCCTTTCCCTCATTTGAGCCCCTGGGGTCTGCTTGCCTGAAAGCCATGACTAAGCCTGATCTCTCGTATTTCTTTCAGCCTGGTCCTCCTGGTCTCTAGTATAAAATACCAAGGTTTCCTGGTTCAGTAATGATTCTAGGCTCTGCTCTGGTCCCAAAGCCAGCTTCTGGAGCTTCCTCCTATATCCGCTGCTGAATAAGTAATAAACTTGTCTTTTAGCATTAACTGACCCTCTATGGAGTCTGGTGACAGGGGATGTACTGCCTTCAGCCTTCCACAATCACTCAAGGAAAACTGTCGGGTTTTCTTCCCTTCCCTTTGGGGGTTAGGTTTTCCATGTGGCAGAGGGTAATTTGGCCACGCTATTTGGCAGAGAAAAATGAGCTGCTTCTTCCTTAAATACTGTGTGTCAAATTGGTCCCAATTTTCCATCATACACTTTAATGGTGACTTGAGCTTGGGAATAGAAGCACCCACCTGAAATTAAACACAAGGGATGCCCACATCCCCGGTTAAAGAAATTACAGCTGCTTTGACCCAAGGTGTCCCCCAGGTAAAATGGGTACTAAAATGAAACGTCTTTCAGTCAGTACCCCGATATTTCATGTGCCCAAGATGCATGATTCATCTTATCAGAGGGCCTTCTATGTACTAAATTTGAGTCACGACCTACCAGCTTTATAGGACCACTCTCACTGCCTGCTGGACCTCCAGCAAATAGCACAGACACATAGAACAAGAGGAGCTATTGGTTTGGATATTCACATACCAATAAGCCCCGATGAGGCCATTGAGGCTCAGGAGATGGGTACCAATATTTCCCATCAGAAGTCCAATTTACACAGGCCAATCTATAAAACTGCCCCAGAAGGGTAAACTTCTAGGGAGGGGCCGTTAGAGCACACAGTTCAAAGAAGGCAGGCCACGTGGCTGAGGCTGGAACAATACCCTCAGGACGGGGCCTCCTCTCCCCAACCCATTTTCCTTTGTAGGAAAATGCTCTTAAGGTTGTGAGTCCTGCCATTGACTATTTGGGCCTGGAACCGATTTAACTAAGATCTTCTAGATGGAAAATTTCTGCCAGAGAGAGAGCCAATCCTAAGCATGACAAATAATACAGTAATCACAAAGTCCCATAGCCTTCAGCTTCTGACTTTCCCCAAAAGGCTTCACCAACCCAAGACTAACTCCACCAGGGAGTTGAACCAGCAACCTTGCAATTACAGGCCCTACACCTTTACTAAGTGTGCAAACAGACCACTTACATCAAGGGATGGCAGAAAGTTTCCTTAAGCCGTATTTTGAATGAGAATGCTGCACCCTGAGGTGACATGGCCTGCCTAAAAGCCGAGCAGGGCTGATGGCTAGCAGCAGCTTTGGCCGCTTCCTTTCCCTCAGAGCCGCACCAGCTGAGGAAAAAAGCAGCTTGCCATGTCAGTTTAAAAGCCCTGTTCACAGCCGTTGCTGGGCTGCCGTTAGTTCCCCTGCCCTCTCGTTGCCATATTGACCCCCGCCAGAACCACTTGCACTCCTGGGCCACTTCCCAAGCTACTGCCCGCACAGGGACCCATGGCCAGCAGGTAAACGCACTGGGGAGCCTTTTTACCCTGCTTCCTGGGACTGGGGAATGCCGGAGGGGCCTGCCAGAGCCATGTGCCAGGCTGCCACCCTCCGCGGTCCCCCTCAGGCTCCAGCTGTACCTTGCCCCTCCCCGCTGTTTTCTCCAGCCCAGCGCTGCAAGCTGGCTTCTGCCCCTGGGGCTGGGCTGTTCCCACCAGCAAAGAGCAAAAGGTGGGGCGGGGGGCAGTGCTTGCCCACTCTGCCTCACAGGCTCCCTCAGGTTTTGGTCCTAGAGATAATATCCAAAGGTCAGAAGACAGAAAGTAGAGACAGAGCTTGAAGGTAAAAAACTGTGCTTTTAATTCTGGCTGGGCCGTGCTTGAGAGGGGCTGGATCGTGCCTCTGAGGCACCTCCACTCAGGTTCCCCAGCCCTGCCTGGTTGCAGCCGCTTCCAGTGTTCTTGAAGAGACAGGACAGAATAGGGCTGGTTTTACTCACAATTATGGTCATCTTCTCTGGCTGCACCCCTTTCCTGGCTGTACCCCTCTTCTGGTGTACCCCTCTCCTGGCTGGCTTGCCAAAATGTAATATTGGGGTTCAAGAGTTCAGGGTGCCCTTAGCTCCCCTGAGAGGATGTTTCTCCAGATTCTTGGCCTCCTGCCCTCTCAAAAATGAGAGAGGGGACCATGGTGCAGTGTGCAGTAAATGCCCTCCCTACTCAAAAGTCTTTGTAGAAAGTGATTTATTTAGAGAAACAGGAGAAGGAGAGAGAAAGAAACAGCTAACTCTCACACTGAGTGAGAGAATCCAGAAAGATGCAATCCAGGAGAGGAAAGCAGCTTCCACACTGAGTGGAAGGGAATAGAGATGGAGTTTAGGAGGGGAAAACAGGCTTCCATGAAGGGAGTGTTCATGGAAGTGGTTCCAAACATGGAGTTCCAGAAGTGTCTATTTTTTAGTACTTTTGGATCTTACCTTGCTTCACTTGGATTAGGAAGGCTCCAAATAACCTATTAAAGATGTTGGTTTTTCAAGAAAGATCTTGTTTAAAGCAAAGAATGTCTATTTGTTAAAACGTCTATTTTTAAAACTGTTATAAACCAACAGTTTGTAAATCACTGGTGTTGACGATTAACATTATTTTCCTCTTTTCATTAGTTTTGATTTTCTATTTTATGTGATGGGTCTCACCAAACTTGTACCTTTTATTTCGATTCATTATTTTAGATCCTCTAAGGCAGTAAATGGAGGAAAAGAATTTAAGGTCATTGTCTTTAAAAAACAAACCCCTTTGATCACTGAGATAGAAATAAAAGTGGCAAATGGTGGGAAAATTTTTATTGTTTTGTTTTTGCACTTGTTTCAGGGGTCAGAAAAAGTGGTTAAGTAGAAGCTAGAAGTATATTTATTTAAATCCAGTGAGGATAATTATGTTTAAGAACTAATCAGTTGGACCAGGAAAAATCAAAGAATATTTGAGTGCCTGCTATGAATATATGCTACTATAAACACTAAAAGTGAGAGAGTATAAAATGCACGATTCCTTATCCCAATAATTTTATAGGAGAAAAAAGTAGAAATAGTGTGGGAGAAAGAAATTACATGATGCAGCCTTAAGACAGCAAATCATTAATTTGGCTTGCATAGAGAGGGCATGTTGAGTGTTGAAGTAAAGAAAAAAGTAAAGTAGTTTAATACACATTTCCAAAGGGTCTTAACTTTCACATGATTCTTATGATGTTTACGGTATGTCAAGCCCCTGTAACTGTTTTAATTACTAAGATAGATAATGAATAGTAATCGAAGTAAACTTGGAAAAACAAAACAGCATGCATATATTCATATTTCTTTGTACACATTACAGATAGATTGCCCATAAGTCATAAATACTTCTCTGATATTGGTACAGATTATTTCATTGTATGTGTATGAATGCACATATGCACACCCACACCCACTCATATTACAAATAAATAGTCATCATAATGCACAACCCTTCTGTAACCAACCTTTACAAAACAGCATTGGATCATACACTTTCCCATTGCTTGTAGGCATCACTTGTATATTTCTCTTAGATAGCAAGAATGCTTGCAAAAGAGAGAATGACATCTCATTTTTCAGTTGAACATCTGCTTAAAGTGGCATATGTTGTTGAAATGGGAAAACCTCCCTTGTCCCCCTCGCAGGTTGTACGACAGGCAGCTTGTGTTAACTAGCTCAGTTAGAAGAGGGCATTCTGTTTCCTGGGTTCTTGCCTTGTGTACTAGAAGAGTCAGATCACAGGTGAACTTGGAGTATAAGTGCAAAGTTTTACTGAGTGGAGGTAGCTCTCAGCAAGTGGGGAAGCCAGAAGAAGGATAAAGTGGGAAGGTTTTCTCCTGGACTCTGGTGTTCAGAGGCCTGTGCTCTTTTCTGACTGCCCCAGCCAAACTCCACCTCATTGGCCTACTGGCATGCAGGTGCCTGTCAGTGGCTTCCTCTCAATGTACAGCTACCTGTGTGTGCCTGCTATGGTCTTGGGGTTGTTAGAGGCACAGAATGAAGGTGTGGCAGGCCAGGGTGGTCTTGGGAAATGGAACATTTGGGCAGGAAAACAAAAATGCATCTCCTCACTTAGGTCTGTGGGTGCAGGCTGGGAGGTGGAGCCCTGGCCAGGGACCACACTCTTCCTTTCCTCCCTTCCTTATCATCTGAAGGGATCATGCCCTTCTCTTCCCAATACTTCCCTTGCCCCTATATAATTAGCAAGTGGAGAAAATGGGAATTAAGTAAGTCAAGTAGAAAGAAGAGGTCACAGTATGTTGACCTGTATTTTCATTGTCTATTAAAAACAGCAAGGAAGCTTGAGTTTGACTTTTTAACACAACTGTATTATTTATGAATCACTTATTTATTAGCATATTTGATAACAGCCACAATCCTGTGACTTGAGCAAGGCAGGATTATTATGTTTTCTTTGCAGAGGGAGACATCAAAGCATAGTGTGGTTAAGAGGCTAGTACACAACTGGCAATTTGTAAACACAGGATTAGCTGTTGAATTTCTGAATACCACTTTTTCATTTGTTTTTCTATTATAACCTCCTCAAGATTCTGAAATGATTCATGAAAAATTCCACTTCCACATGGTGGAAATAATAGCAAAACCAAAGTGTTACAAAGAGCAGCAATAAACAGCAACATTTATTTATTGCTTTATATTTCCCTGAACACTTCACTGAACATTAAAAACCATAAAATCATTAAATTGTGGGTTTCATCGATTTGTTACCGTGAACTAACCCAATTCTCTGCTTTGACAGGGAAGTTAACCTTGAGGCAAACCAGGGATGATACTTCTGGCCTTTTTTGATGAAGCATTGGTTTAACAGTGTCACACTATAGATGCACATTGATAAATCAATAATATAATGTGGATGGAATATAGAAATAGAAACAAAGAAACAATCCATATATTCTGCTACATAGCATTTTGAGAAAATAGCAAATTTTATTCTACTCTTGCATACAATTTACTTTGGAAGTTTTGTATAATGAAGGAGAACATGTATTTTAAATGTTTATAATTGAATATCAAGTTAACCATGGCATTTGAAAAGAAAAATGTCAGAGATTTATGAGCAGTAGAAACTGCTACCAATGGCAAAAAAATATAAATAATAAACTAGAGTTATGTTTTCAAAAAAATAATAATAATGGTAGATACTGCTTTTACTACTACTATTAAAATTATTGTTTCTAGTATAATGGACTTTCAATATTTATTAAGGGCACTTTGCTAAGTATGTTACATAAAATATATTATTTAATAGTTAGAACAATCCAATAAGTTGAGATTTAAAATAATTTTTAGAAACAAGAAATTTTAGAGGATTTAAGTAATTCAACCAAGGTACACAGCAAAAAGTACCAGAAATGAGAGTCATATGCAGGCACATTTAACTCTGAAACTTGTTTTATTTTTTTAGTCACCATAGCTAGAGACTAAATTCAGGCCCAGAGCTTATAGAAATCAAAGCTGGGGTTTCTGAAAACTCCCTGCTACCAGTAAGTAGGCTCTTAAATGAGACTGAGGCAGTCAGTCTTGGAGTGCTGTGAGTGGACTGACAAGCAGAGATCTCTTTGCATCCTCATAAGTGTAACACTCAGCTGTGTATTTATGTTCCTCTCATCAGGCTGGCAGACATGAAACTCATTCTTTTATTCAAGTCCAGTCTGCGTAGATTTTTCACCCTTCCGATGCTGCCTTTGCAAAGATTATGACGGGAAGAGAAATCTAACATGGCTGACTCAGTTTCGCTTCTAGCCTCACAGGCTGCTTGTCTTCTCTCATTCCTGGGCAGAGGCCAAATCATGGGAAGAATTTCATTTATAATTAACTTTGAAGCAAAGATGCTAACATTACAGTCTCTTCAAAAACTAATCCTCTTTATGTTCAGTGGTTGAAACTACATTTGTAAAACTCATAAAAAGAGCTTAAGATTATGATTATAGGAGGGGCCTGAATTCTGCTAAAATGTAGATGTGGTTTCAATAATATCTTATTGCTCTGGAGTCATGTGACCAGAAGCAACAAGATTTCTGACCTCCCCAACTGCTCCTACAGATAACATCACAATTGTAGACTCTAATATTGGTCTTTGGAGATGTTCATCAGATGTGTGTGTTCTGGCAACCCACTGACCCAACAGACTCATGACTCACTCATAAATCAACCTGTCCCGTGGCCTCCATCCAGAGGCAAACTCAATGCAAGAGAATCATTTTCTACACCCCTCATGGCATCCCCAACCAATCAGCCACAACCATTCCCTAAACCCTTGCCCACCAAACTATCCTGAAAATTCTTAACCTCCGAGCCTTGGGGAGACCAATTTGAGTGATGACTCCAGTTCTCCTATATGGCTAGCGTCTTATTAATTAAACTTCCTTTTCTGCAATACCATGGTCTCCATAAACTGTTGTTTTCTGTGGAGCAGGCAGGAAGAACCTGTTGAGTAATTATACTTCCAATCTTTTCCCCTAATACTGGAACATATTAAACATGCACTCC